GCCCAACGAGAAAATGAAGTCAAGTCCGAAAACAAAAGAAGAAACTAGTCATTAACAGATGCGTTTTGATGGGCCTGCCTGGACCCAAGTTCAAGAATGAGTCCAATACGTAACCCAGATTAAGTTCATACAACGAAATTACTCAATTATCAGTTATTTAAAAGGTGTTACCTAAAACTAATAAGGATTAGGTCTAGCAGTCCTCCACAACATGTAAACTAATGTTTAAATCTTCATTGAGAAAAATATCCATATTTAGTACTTGATACTATCTTGAATAGAAGGTAAATGATACCTGATAGATACTCCAAAATAATTGTAACTACAAAAAAATGTTACTTGATGAAAATAAAAATTACACGAAACTCGCATATATTCATGTGTCGTATAAGAGTAATAGAGTGCACCAACTAGTTAGGCTTCCTCACACACGCACACAAACTTCTTTATTGAGCAGAAGAGCACAAATTAACACACTCTTCTATTTAAAATTTGCTCTAAGTACTGTTCGATTATTGGTTTTTTGGCTTCTTGAACTTTCTGAGCACTCGACAAGTTGCATCAATAGCCTTCATCGACGGGAAGTGCTATCCATCCAAATTATATATACACACATACATGATCCCATTTCCAGAGTTGTGAGAAATAATAATGAAATAATGGAGTTATGAAAGTAAAATAAGTAAATTATTACTCCTCCGGTCCTTAATATAAGATCCAATTCTTAAGTTGGTTTTGGTCCTAAATATAAGACCCATTTCTCATATTTATCAACTTTTTCTGAATTACCCTTATAGATACTCCCTCAATCATAATCAAATAGAAGAAGGAGAAGGATATTAAAAAAGATGATTATGATGTTTTAGGAAAAATGTGTCACTTTTCTTATAATTAACTAACTTACCTAACTTCCTTAATCTAATCAAATTAGTTAAATGAGTTTTATATTAAGGACCGGAGGAGTAAGAGATAATTAGAGGTCTTAAGAAAAAAAATAATTACCAACAAGTCTCAGTAACAATTATGCAATTATTATTTGTCACCTTACAACTTGTTATTATAAGCTGTTTGGTTGTCATTAAAACTTTTACTAATTATATTGCTTACTGAAACTTCATAACAATTCTCCCAATTACATATTAATGAGAGAGAGAGAGAGAATACAACGGTAGATGAGTTTGGAGAGGGACGGTTCCATAGAGGAGTTGCTCCGAAAAGCTTGAGGCAAACTAGCAAGAAGCATAAGACAAGTGAATTTCCTTTCATTAAGCTCCATAACTGGGCTTCTCCCGTTCATTTTGCTAATTATCCAAAGAGCTACATCTGCACTTACATGTCATCAATATAATCAAACATGTCTCATACCCGAAGGACATCAAGTAGAACATAATATATATACATATATACACAGTGTAATAAGCAATGTGATCTCTGAATTGAAGTACAAATCAAAATGTTGGCTATTAGTGCTAGCAAGAAGAATGGTCTCGGTTTTGCTGTATTGATGAATTTTGAAAGCGTCAACCTCAGACTGAGTTACTTCTGCAAAATGGCTGGCGAACACATGCTGAAGCATCTTGAGGTTGCCGAACGCAGCAGCCCTGAACAATGGCGTTTCCCTTCTCTTTTTTTTTTCATCTCCACTGATCTCGGTCCCCTCTCTTCCTTCTCCTCCTCCGGCAGCGTCGCCGCCGCCGCCTGGTTTTCATACTTGAGTATAACCTCTACCATCTGTACGGACAGTCTTTGCCTCGACAGTTAGGCTTGGTCATGACCAAGCGACCCACCTGTCTTGTTCAAATAGCATCTCCAGCAAATCCTGCAAGAGCTTAGGATCATCACTGCGCGTTGCGACGGTGAGGGCGGAGTCTTCAAACAAGTTGAAATTACTGAGCAGTTCTTTCTTGTTGTGCTCAAAGGTTTGCTTGGAGGCTTTCCAATCTTCGGACCAGTAAGCATTTTGAGCTACTCTCATTGTCTCCCTGAACATATTCCCTCCCTCTATCTCAATCTCACCACTCTTCTCTCCCATCTTCCTCAATTCAGTTGCCCACACCATCTACTAGCTCTCATGCCCATGTCTATATATGTGTGTGTGTAGACACACACAAACACACACACATATGTATATATAGACACACACACACAGACATATACACGGTGTAAAATGGGGTAAAATACTGAAAATGACCTCCGCATCTGATCCAAGTGATTTATTTGAGTTTTGTGATAGTAGTGTACTCTGTCCTCTAATGTTCTTTTTTTTTTTTTTTTGCCTGTGTTTTGATGTCGTAATTGAAAGCATATTATTCTTTGCTTGCAAAAATAGAAAGCAAAAACTGTAGTTGGCCCAAAAAAAAAAAGGAAAGAAAGAAAGAAAGAAGGTAAAAATTGTAAAGAAATCATACCTTCTCTAATAACATCTCATTGGACAACTTTCGAGAGATCTGCTATGAAAGGAACAATACATCGGGCATTTTGTTTTTGACCGGCAATATATCGGGCATTTACGTAGTAGTAGTAGTAATAATAATATAATAATTTCCATTAGAACTTAAAAGAGATCGATTAAGGAAATAGAGTTTTATTACTTAATTCCTGTAGTTTTGCTATATAGCGGTTTGAGTGATAAAACCAAGGAAAATATTTTCATATTACTGAACACAGATTATATTTGTAAAGCACCGCAAATAAACTACGGACACAAGGGTGGCTTTTTTCTTAACGGTTCCTTTTTTGGGATTAAAGAAAGTAATAATATTGTGAAAGAATGCTGCATTAACATTTTTATTCTTTGCTTACAAAAATCAAAAGGTTAAAAAGGAAGAAATTGAAAAGAAAATGCCTTCTGTTGTTTACTTTAGCACCACATTATTCATATGTATCGAGGGTTATTAGGATTCCAGTGTGGGTATAATTAATGAATGTTTTATTATATAATCAGCATTAAAAGAGACCAACAAGGAAATGAGGGTTCATTCACAGACGCAGGTTGATGGGCTTGCCAAGCCCCAAGTTCGTTAATGAGTCCAACACGTGCCCCAAATTAGCCTAATCAGATGAAACTCAATTACCAATTATTTAATTAATTTATTGACCTTTCAAAGGCGTTACCTCAAAAAAAAAATTCTTTTGGCCTTTCATATAGGACCTAATTACAGAGTTAATATTAATATTAAATATAAGTCATATTTCATATAATTATTAACTTTTTTCGGATTCACCCTCTTGATCTTCCCTCAACAATAATTAAGTAGAAGAGGAAAAAAATAAATTAAAAAGATACTCAGAATATTTTATAAAAATATACTCCCTCCGTTCCTTATTATAAGAGACATTTGATGCTTATGGCATGTTCCTATATATAAGAGACACTTAAAAGTTGTCTCTACTTTTTGTGTTGATTTCCTATTTTACCCATATTTATTATCTCCACTCACATTCTCTTTTCCTCCCACTTTTCTTTCTTTTAATATATTTTCTTTCTTTAATAATATAATTGTTCTCTCTCCTTATTAATAAGGGCATTTTTGAAAAAAAAATTATACTTTTTACACATTAATTGTTTTTAACTATTTTAACTGTTTTTTTTAATCAACGTACTTCAGTTATTTGTCTCTTATAATAAAAAACGAAAGGAATATATCATATTAACTAATTCAACTCAAATTAATTAATTAAGCGTTATAAAGACCGGAGTCAAATTCTTTGGAGGGGGTATTGTGTGTAGGGGTAATATTCAGAAACTAAAACTCCAGCTAAGCTGCAAGTGGGCTTGTTAACCGAAGGCGGGGGAACTAGATGTTGGGCTTTAAGTGGCCCACATGGCTTAGCGCCCCTGGTATCTGAGGGCCTATTCTAGTCCCATAGAAAATATTACTGCTCCTCGTATTAAATATAGCGAGATTTAATTTATAGGGTAAAGGATCGAAAATACTATATAAACACATACTCCTCTGTTCCTTAATATAATATTCATTTAATAAATTTGATTAGATTAAGGAAGTTTGGTAAGCTAGTTAATCATAAGAAATGTGTCATGTTTTTCTTAAAATACCATAATCATCTTTCTTAATACCCCTTCTTCCTCTTCTATTTGATTATAGTTGAGGGAGTATCTATATAGGTAACTTAGAGAAAATTGATAGATATGAGAAAATGGTCTTATATTTGGGACTAAAACTAACTTAATAATTGAGTTCTATATTAAGGATCGGAGGAGTATTTGAACTTGATGGCTCCCCAATCTTTTTATTTTGATTTTTAAAAACCTCTCCCCCCTTCTTTATCTAGTTGTCTTTTACTATATTTCAGCTGAAGTTAGGAAGTCCCAAAGAATCCAATACTATCTTCGTCTCTTAGCCTCTTCCTAATGAAGTTAAGAGCATAACATGAGATTTTTTTTTTGACAATTCCAAATTTACCTTTAATGTTTCGTATATACTGATGCGATGTGGTTATAAATAATTAAAGACATAATAACAAAAACGTGAAAATGTTATATTGAGTTTTTAAAGAGACATGTAAAAGCAAAAATGTTGTTTCAAAGGGAATCATATTTTGAAGCGAAGGGAATTCAAAATGAGTAATATCGTTAATATTTGAGATGAATAGAGATAGCATACAAGGGGATTAGGAGAATTATGTTATAAAAGAGGTTGGATAAAATTCTACGTTGACCAACACAACCCTCTTCCTTTATTTGAATTTAGAATTGGCTATAAATTATAAGCATGTTAGGAGAATGTGATGATCAAAAGAAATCTTATATTGTCGGTTATAATTTTCTTGTGTTCTGGACAATATACTCAAATTCAAATTCGCTCGTATTATATAAGAATAACGCAACACACCAAACCAACATGGCTTCCTATATAAGAACAACACACTCAACAACAAACCAGCTCCTCTCTCTCTCTCTCTCTCTCGCATATTATCTTGCAGAAAAACTTAATAATTAACAAACCTTTGATTTGAAATTTGTACCAAGTGCTGTTCACTTATTGATTTTTTGGCTTCTTAAATCTTTTGACCACTCGACCAGTCGCATTAATCGCCTTCATCGCCTTCTTGCACACCTTGTGGATCAAGATTGGAATCTTCCTATAAAGTGGGAATTCAATCAATCCAAATATGGTGACAGGAAAGAACGCGGCACTATACACCAAAGTCGAAGGCCATTTCTTCCACGGCAACCTAATTGTGAGCAAAATAGTTGCAGAAAAAGCAAGCATTGTGGAGGTCAGAGCCAAGAACAGGAAAGTAAACCCTAGATTCAGTTTACGAGGGAGAGACTTGTGGAAATTCCAGAGCTCAAATGGTGACGTGATGATGGAAAGAAACATGACCACAGAAGCCAAAGCGAAGGCAAGTGCCACAACGTCCATGACGGTGAAGAAGATGAAAACCGGTGAACTGAGAAGCACCGGCGTGCCAGCCTCATTCCCTCCCGGAATTGCGTAGGCCGCCGCAAAGACCACCGTGGCCACAAGAATGGCCACGGTGGAGCAAGACTTGGCGGTTTGCTTTATCCATTCCCGGGCCTTTTCAAGCATGTCATGGTGCTCCATCTCCAGAACATCTTTCGCTGTTAGTGCCTGATTGTCACAATGCAAATGTAGATGATTGGGAACAACCTTTTCCACTCGCTGCACATTCACAGAAACACAAAACAAAATGTTGGTTGCCATCAACCGGGGGGGGAATCTTGGTTACCTTGAATATGACTAAATAGAATTATTGAAACCTTAAGATACATACTCTGTACCACTTGAGTTCATCTTGTAGTTTGAATGCTGCACCAGGTTGGGATGATCCTCTGTAATAGTCCATTCGGGCAACTTCGTGCAACGCGGTGCAATTTGCAACAGATATTCGATAGCCAAGGGAAGAAAATAATGGATTTTTCCTGAGCAGTTTGAAGATTTTCAATTGACGGTGCCTAACGGCTATTTGTAGTATATTATGGCCTTCTTTACCCATGTAATTTATAGACATTGGATGCTCTTTAAGGAACAAGTCTACGATCTCTTCAATCCCAGTGCTGGCTGCTACGAACAATGGTGTTCTATAATGTTGAGGTTTGTTTTGATCATCTTCTTTCTGTTCCTTCCTTTCCAGTTGTTGTTTCCTTTTTTCGACGTTGTAAAGAACAGGTGGCAGTTGGACCTGTAAATCATCAGTTGGACGACTACTAGACGAGATCTGCCACGAGAAGTCATGCTTCACCAGAAACTTCGCCAAACTCTTCGCTAACTGATGCTTCCTCTTATCTTTCCAGAGAGATTCAATCCCCCTGAATACTGCTAATTATTCGTGTTAGTATATGTACTCAAAACAAGTGTGTGTGTGTGTGTGTTTTGATTTTCAGAAAAACATCATGTTGGCACCTTCAGCTAGACTACTCCAGACAGCAAAGTTGATTCTTGAAAGATAACTTGATGCAAGTAAGATATATATATATATTGCTTAGACGACAACGATAGATCAAGACATATTATAAAATTTGAGCAAATATTTTGAAACAGAGATCAGATTACCTAAAGTTGGCGGCTTGGAACTCTCACGTGGACCAGTTTCTATGTCTGTGCGATGCCCAGTCGACTCAGAGCTATCGAGACCTTCGATTAATTGGTATCTTACATCGGGAAGCACTATATATCCATATCCAAGTTACATATATTTTTATATATGTATGTTTGTACACCCCATTTCAAGAGTTGTGAGAGTTGATGGATTTATGCAGTGAAAAAAGAAAATTATTTATGCAGTGTGTAGAGAGAGAGAGAGAGAGAGAGAGTACGTACATTTATAGATGAGGTTAATGTAGAATCCCATATGGTAGTTGCTCCGGAGACCGGAAAGCCTCGGGCAGGCTAGCAAGTAGCTGAAGACTAGTAAGGTTCGCGTCATTCTCCTCCAGGGCTAGCTTTGTCCCATTCATTTTTCTTATTATCCAGAGAGCTACATCTGCACTCATCACATGTCATCATCAATATAATCAAACCTGTCTCAGAGCTAAAGGACAAGAATAATACATATATATATATATAGTGCAGTAAGCGATCTATGAATTGAAGTACAAACCAAAATGTTGGCCATTAATGCTAGCATGCAGAATGGTCTCAGTATTGCTGTATTGGTGAATTTTCAAAGCGTCACCCGCGGACTGAGCTGCTTCTGCAAAACGCTCCTCATGGAACACATGGTGGAGCATCTTGAGGTTGCGGAACGCAGCAGCCCTGAACAGTGGCGTTTCACCTCTTCCGTTTTTCCTCTCCAGTAATTTCGGCCCTCTCCTTTTGTTTTACTCCTCCGGCAGTGCCGCCGCCGCCTCGTTTTCGTAGTCGAGTATAAAATCTACTATCTCCATGGACACTCTTTTTCGTAAGGCGATATTGTGAAGAATAGTGTTGCCTCCACGACTGGGCTTGGTCAAGGCGAGCCACCTTTCTTCTTCAGATAGCATCTCCAGCAAATCCTTAAAGAGATTACGATCACGGCTGCGAATTGCGATGCTGAGAGCATGGTTCTCAAACAAGTCAAAATTGTTGAGCAGTTCTTTCTTGTCGCCCTCAAAGATTTGCTTGAAGGCTTTCCATCTCTAACGCAGTAAGCTTTTTGAGCTCTTCTCATTGTCTCGCTGAACATACTCCCTCCCTCTATCTCAATTTCATTACTACTCCTCTGTCCCATTTTCCTGGATCTCTCTTTTGCTCACGGCCCCTGCTAGTGCTTATCCCCATGGTTCTGTCTATATATGCACACGGTGCGACGGGTTTCTCGCAGCCTTCTTTCTTCTCCTTCCCCCTCTAATGTATTTTTTTTATAAAAGATATATGACTATCCAATACTAGCTAATGAGCAGCGGCTTTCTTTCTTCTTTTTCTTTTTCCTTTATTTTTTTTCGAAGTATGAAACTACTCATTGTTTACTGTTGAGTACGATTTAAGCAATGTCGATCTAATTGAACTTTCTTAAAGTCGTTATACTTTAGTATTTGCACGGACTGGAATATGCGGCCTTTAAATTCTCTTATTCTCATGACCCCTTGCATATCTAAGTTTTATTATTAATCAATAATTTTTGTGTTTATTTCTGTATGCGACAAATAAATAGCAACATTTTTCTAAAATTTAGAATCAGCATAATGAAAAACTGGGTGTTTCATGCTTATAATTCCTTTGATGGAAAAAATAATAGCTGCCATTTATAGTGGATTATAAATTACTTTTTCTATTTTAACTATATCTTCGTAATAGTCTAACTTTTGAGCTTATATATAGTTCAATTCAATTTTGGATTTGATATTATGCTCCTCTGGTCTTAAATATAAGCCTCATTTTATAGTGTAAATTATACTATAAAATGACTCTTGTATTTAGAACAGGAGGAGTACTATTTGTGTTAAAATACAAGTGCCCTCCGCACCTGAAACTACCGGAGCTAATTTCTTGGGGCACAGAGATTTAAGTAAAACACTCAAAATGGCACCCGCCCCTAACGTGAGTGATTTATAAAGTTTTGTGATAGTATTATACTTTAAATTTAGCAAATCCTAATTAAATCCAGCTGAGATATGAGATGCCAAAATCTAAATTTAAGCTTATACTTTTAATGATTTCCTAGTCATGATAAGAGGTCTAATTAGGAAATTATGAATGTTGTATTGTTGTTAGAAGACCATAATGCACTTCTGTAATTACAAAGGAAAATTGAAGATAATTTTAGGCCTGACTTTATTTTTGGTTATTTCAGTTAGATTTAATTAAAATTTAATTGCAAATTCCTAGAGTCTTAAATAAAGCCCTCTCTTCTGGTAAAAAATAAAAATAAGAATAAAGCCCTCTCTCGTTTTCCAGCAAATTGATAATTACTCCGAACTTTGGTCTTGCTGTCACAGAAAATCTGTTCCGAATGTTATTTTAGGTTTGTAAGCTACTGCTTATTTCATCTTAAATCAGGATGCTTATGTTAGAAGCAAGTTGATTATCTTATATACTCATTTGTGCGTATCGTAATGATCATATTCCGTGATCGTCCACCTTGTTATTATAGTTTGTTTTCTGAATCAATCAATATAAAATACTACTAGAAAATAGGAAACTTGGTATGTCATAATTCTATTTTCACAGTCTGCTGAAAACACGATTGAGGGACCACCTAATTAAGCCTGTGAGAATTTTGTAATTAAATTCTAATTAAACCTAATTGAAATAATTAAAATTGAAGTCAGGTCTACATCTATCTTCAATTTTCCTTTTTAACTCTATATGGCATCCTTACCTTTTAACAATATTCCCAATTACCATATCAAATTAGGCATTTTTTTAAAGTGTAGGTTTGAATTTGAATTTTGATTTTAAAGGTGTGTTTGGCTCAATATAGGGGATGAGAGCGGAGGGACTTTAATGGAGAGAAAGAAGATGAAAAGAAGGGAAGTGATTTTAATATTACCTTATTTGGATTAATATGAGGGGAGGGGAGGGGAGGAATTTTAATGTTACTTTTTTGGTCTATGAAAGGAGGGGAGGTAAAATATTTTTGTATGCACAACTTTGCTCTTATATTATTTAAGCTAATTTTTACAAACTTTATAGAGTAATTAATAAAATATAATTATAAATAATATTTAATATATGAGGAAAGAGGCATGATTGAATCTATAAATATACCAAATCACATACAATTTAGCAGTGAAGGGTAACATAGGATTATTAGAAAATAATATGGGCATATTAGTCAACACAGGCCAAAATATTATCCTTTATCTCAATTCTCTCAATTTTGGAGGGGAGGGAAAATGTTAAAAAATTCCCCCCTCAAATTTTTATCTTGCCAAACAAAGAAAAATGATTAAAATCCCTCCTTCTCCCTCTCTTCCCCTCCAAATCTTTCATACCAAACGGACTGTAACTTTATCCTCTAATGTTCTTTTTAATTTTCATAATTTAAATTTTAAAGCACCCAGGTATCATAATTTAATGCGTGCATATTCTTTGCTTGCAAAAACATAAAGGAAAATTAGAAAAGAAAATTATACCTTCTCTAATATAACAACTCGTTAGCCAACTTTAAGAGATGCACTAGCTAGGTAAAGAATAGTATAATATTGGGAATTTACGTCATAATAATAATTTTCAATTCCAACTTAAAGGGAACGATCAAGAAATGGAAGTTTAGCGCCACTACACACACATTACTTTATTACATGAAAAAAAAAAAGAGGAAAAAGGAAGAAACTGGAATAAAAATTCCTAGGAAAGGCCTTCTGTTGTTTACTTTAGCGCCACTACATATGTAACAATGGTTGTTAGGATTCAAGTGTGAATATAATGGATGTTATTATATATATAATTAGTATTAGGCTCAAAAAATTTTCATTAGAAGCTAAGAGACCAACAGGGGAAAAAGACAAAGAAAGAAAGAAATAAAGTCATTCACGTATGCACGCCCACCAATACGTACCCCAAATTAAGCTCATAAAATGAAACTCAATTATCAATTATTGGAAAGGGGTTATACCCAACAAAATAAGAGATTTAAAAAAAAAAAAGGTACACCAATTAATCTCGCATATACTCGTATAAGAGTAATACTTCTCCGATATTAAATATAAAATTCATTTTATAATATAAAATTTAAATTATAAAATAAGTCTTATATTTAGAATCCGGAAATAGTAGGATACACCAAGTAGTAAGGCTTCCTCTCTCAGACTCACCAATACTAAGTATAAAACCACTCATTGTTTACTGTTGAGTACGATTTAAGCAATGTCGATCTAATCGAACTTTCTTAAGTCGTTATATTTTAGAATTTGCACAGACTGGAATATGTGGCCTTTAAATTCTCTTATTCTCATGGCCCCTTGCATCAGAACCAACCTAAGTTTTATTATTAATCAATAATTTTTGTGTGTTTATTTCTGTATGTGATAAATAAATAGCAACAATTTTCTAAAATTTAGAATCAGCATAATTAAAAACTGGGAATTTCATGCTTATAATTCCTTAGATAAAAAATAATAGCTGCCACTTATAGTGGATTATAAATTACTCTTTTTATTTTAACTTTATCTTCGTGATAGTCTAGCTTTTGAGCCAATGGCCCTGTTTGCCATCACAATTGAAATAACTTATAAACACGTTTCATGTAAACCGAGATAAAATTCCTTTTACATATTTAACTTGTATTCTGTAAATTACGATTAAAAAGTTATTTGTAAGTTATTACAAACGGACCCATAAATGGCCTCCGCACTTGAAACTACGGAAGCTAATTTCTTGGTATGTCATAATTTTATTTTCATAGTTTGCTGAAAAAAGAGAGAGGGACCACCTAAGCCTGTGGGAATTTGTAATTAAATTCCAATTAAACCTAATTGAAAGAATTAAAATTGAAGTTTAGTCTACATCTATATATCTTCAATTTTCCTTTTTAACTATATGGGACATCCTTGTCTTTTAACAATATTCACAATTCCCTTCCCTAATCAGATTAGGCATTTGTTAAAAGTGTAGGTTTGAATTTGAATTTTGATTTTAGTTGGATTTAATTGGGTTTCTTTCTTAACTTTATCCTCTCATGTTCTTTTTAATTTTCATAATTTAAAGCACCCAAATATCATAATTTAATGCCTGCATATTCTTTGCTTGCAAAAACATAAAGGAAAAATGCAAAAGAAAATTATAACCTCTCTAATATAATAACTGATTGGCCAACTTTAAGTGATTAGGTAAAGAACAATATAATATTGGGAATTTACGTCATAGTAATAATTTTCAATTCCAATTTAGAGGGACCAATCAAGAAATGGAACTTTATTAATTGACGAATGAATACATTTGTACTCTAATATTCTAAAAGAATGGTGCATCCACACAAACACACACACACACACACTGCTTTATTACTTTAAAAAATAAAAAGGAAAAAGGAAGAGACTGGAAGAAAAATTCCAAGGAAAAGCCTTCTGTTGTTTACGTTAGCGCCACATGATACATATGTAACAATGGTTGTTAGGATTCAAGGTGTGAACATAATGGATGTTATTATATATGTAATTAGTGTTAGACTCAAAAAAATTTCCATTAGAAGCTAAGACCAACATGGATAAAGAAACAAAGAAAGAAAGAAATGAAGTCATTCACAGATGCACGCCCACCAATACGTGCCCCAAATTAAATTCATAAAATGAAACTCAATTATCAATTATTGGAAAGGTGTTATACCTAACAAAAAGTACGCCAAACTCGCATATATTCTTATAAGAGTAATGCTTCACCAAATAAAATAGATTTTATATTTGGAATCCGGAGATGATAGTAGAATACACCAACTAGCGAGGCTTCCTCGCTCACACTCCCACACACAAACTCTTTATTTTGTAGAAAAGGCACAAATTAATTAGCACACTCTTCGATTTAAAATTTGCTGTGAGTACTTTTCGATTATTGATTTTTTGGCTTCTTGAACTTTCTGAGCACTCGACAAGTTGCATCAATCGCCTTCATCGTCTTCTTATATACCGTGTGGACCAACCTTGGAATCTTCTTATAAAGTGGGAATTCAATCAAGCCAAATATGGCGACAGGAAAGAACGAAGCACTATAAACCAACGTCGAAGTCCATTTCTTCCACGGCAGCCTTATTGTGAGCAAAATCGTTGCACAAAAAGCAAGGATCGTGGTGGTCAACGCCAAGAACAGAAAAGCAAACCCCAGATTCAGTTTCTGAGGAAGAGACTTGTGGAAATCCCAGAGCTCAAATGGTGACGTGAGGATTGAAAGAAACATGACCACGGAAGCCAAGGAGAAGTCAAGTGCCACAATGTCCATGACAGTAAAGAAGATGAAAATGGGTGAACTGAGGAATACAGGTGTGCCGCCCTCGCTCCCTCCCGGGATGGTGTAGGCCGCCGCGAAGACCACCGTGGCCACAAGAACGGCCACGGTGGAGCAAGACTCGGCGGTTTGCTTTATCCATTCCCGGGCCTTTTCGAGCATGTCATGGTGCTCCATGTCCAGAACATCTTTCGCTGTTAGTGACTGATTGTCACAGTGCAAGTGTAAGTGACTGGGAACAACTTTTTCCACTCGCTGCACATCCACGCTCACAAACAACAACAACAAAATCATTGGTTGTGACAAAAAAGAGACAAAAACATTAAAAACTTAGGATACATACTTTGTACCACTTGAGCTCATCTTGTAGTTTGAATGCTGCACCAGGTTGGGATGATCCTCTGTAATATTCGATGCTAGCAACTTCGTGCAACGCGGTGCGATTTGCAGCAGAAGTTCGATAACCAAGGGAAGAAAATAAATAATTTTTCTGGAGCAGTTTGAAGATTTTCAATTGACGGTGCCTAACGGCTATGTGTAGTATATTCTGGCCTTCTTTACCCATGTAATTTATAGACACCGGATGCTCTTTAAGGAACAAGTCTACGATCTCTTCAATCCCAGTGCTAGCTGCTATGAACAATGGTGTGCTGTAATGTTGTAGCTTGGTTTGATCATCTTCTTTCTCTTCCTTCTGTTCCAATTGTTGTTTCCTCTTTTCGACGTTGTAAAGAACAGGTGGCAGTTGGACCTGTGAATCTTGAATTGTGCGATTACTATACGAGATCTGCCACGAGAAGTCGTGCTTCACCAGCAACTCCGCCACACGCTTTGCTAGCTGATGATTCCTCTTATCATTCCAGAGAGATTCAATCCCCGTGAATACTGCTAATTCAGTAATTCCTCATGTTAGTTTAATCCAAATATGTATGTGGATTTTTAAAAAACAATATGTTGGCACCTTCAGCTAGATTACTCCAAACAGCGTAGTTGATTCTTGAAAGATATCTTGCTGCAATTCAGTTATATATATTAATTAATGTTAGTTATATATACTATTCTTTCAGTTTTACATGTAAGACTTATTTTGTAATGTATTTACATTGTAGGAGTATATATTCCGATCACATATTTTTGAAACGAAGATCAAGTACCTGAAATTGGCGGCTTGGCACTCTCATGTGGGCCAGTTTCTATGTCTGTGTGATGCCCACATGACTCGGAGCTATTGGTAGCTTCAATTAATTGGTATCTTTCATCGGGAAGCACTATCCATCCAAATTATACACATATACATGATCCCATTTCCAGAGTTGTAAGAAATAATCATGAAATAATGGAGTTATGAAAGTAAAACAAGTAAGTTATTAAGGGAGAATTACAATGAGGTGCCAAGAAAGGAAAATAATTACCAACAGGTCTTATAACAAGTGAGTAATTACCATTTGTTACCCTACAACCTGTTATTGTAAGCTGCTTTATTGTTATCTGGATTTTTAGTAATTGTATTCCTTAATTGAAATTTCATGACAATTCTCCCAATTATTAACGATCTATAGAGAGAGAGAGAGAGAGTACAATGGTAGACGAGTTTGGTGGGGGATGATTCCATAGGGTAGTTGCTCCGAAAAGCTTGGGGCAAGCTAGCAAGAAGCTCAAGACAAGTGAACTTCCTTTCATTAAGCTCCATAACTAGGCTTCTCCCGTTCATTTTGCTAATTATCCAAAGAGCTACATCTGCACTCACATGTCATCAATATAATCAAACATGTCTCATACCCGAAGGACATCAAGTAGAACATAATATATATACATATATACACAGTGTAATAAGCAATGTGATCTCTGAATTGAAGTACAGACCAAAATGTTGGCTATTAGTGCCAGCAAGAAGAATGGTCTCGGTTTTGCTGTATTGATGAATTTTGAGAGCGTCAACCTCAGACTGAGCTGCTTCTACAAAATGGCTGGCGAACACATGCTGAAGCATCTTGAGGTTGCCGAACGCAGCAGCCCTGAACAGTGGTGTTTCACCTCTTTCGTTTTTCCTCTCCAGTAATCTCGGCCCCCTCTTTTTCTCCTCCTCCTTCGGCAGTGTCGCCGCCGCCTGGTTTTCATACTTGAATATAAGCTCTACCATCCGTACGGACAGTCTCTTCCGTAAGGCGATGTTGTGAAGAATAGTGTTGCCTCGACAGTTAGGCTTGGTCAAGGCGAGCCACCTGTCTTGTTCAGATAGCATCTCCAGCAAATCCTGCAAGAGCTTAGGATCATCGCTGTGAGTTGCGATGGTGAGGGCGGAGTCCTCAAACAAGTCGAAATTATTGAGCAGTTCTTTCTTGTTTTTCTCAAAGATTTGCCTGAAGGCTTTCCAATCTTGGGCCCAGTAAGCATTTTGAGCTCTTCTCATTGCCTCGCTGAACGTACTCCCTCCCTCTATCTCAATCTCACCACTCTTCTCTCCCATTTTCCTCAATTCACTTGCCCACACTATCCGCTAGCTCTCATGCCCATGTGTCTATATGTGTGTGTGTGTGTAGATACACGCACAAACGTACACACAGTGTAAAATAGTGTAAAATACTGAAAAACTGAAAATGACCTTCGCATCTGATCTAAGTGATTTGTGTTGAGTTTTGTGATAGTAGTGTACTCTGTCCTCTAATGTTCTTTTTATTTTTTTGCCAGCGTTTTAATGTCCTAATTGAAAGCATATTATTCTTTGCTTACAAAAATAGAAAGCAAAAACTGTAGTTTGCCAAACAAAAAAAGCAGATAAAGAAAGAAAGAAAGAGATCGATTAAGGAAATAGAGGTTTATTACTTAATTCCTGTAGTTTTTCTATATAGTGGTTTGAGTGATAAAACCAAGGAAAATATTTTCATATTACTGAACACTGATTGATATATGTAAAACACTGCAAAATAAACTGCGGACACAAGGGTTTTTTTCCCCTTAATCGTTCCTTTTTTGGGATTAAAGAAAGTAATAATACTGTAAAAGAATGATGCGTTAATATATTTATTCTTTGCTTACAAAAATCAAAACGAGAAAGAAGGAAGAAATTGAAAAGAAAATGCCTTCTGTTGTTTACTTTAGCACCACATTATTCATATGTATCAAGGGTTCTTAGGATTCCAGTGTGAGTATAATTAATAAATGCTTTATCATATAATCAGCATTAAAAGAGACCAACAAGGAAATGAGGGTTCGTTCACACTTAAAACCCAGATCACTTGCTATCCATGAAACTCAACTGTGTTGGAGCTGGGACGGCTGGACTTGAAGAAGAAAGGTGAAGAGTGAAGACGTAAAAATGAAACCATGAAAAGACCGGAGGATAGGAGAACAAAATGCTTTACTGGCACTTCCTTTCTCTTTCTTCGATGTTAATAAATTTAATTTCTCACCTGTCACTCCACACAGAGTCACCGAGGCAGTAAAAACTTCCCATCCCGTTTTTTAACAAGTTACGCAACTCTTATTTATGCATTTCTGTTTTTCATATTTTCGTTTTGTGAATGATTAGATACATTATTGTGATATAAGTGCGTTAATTTATTGGAAATTAAAATATTTTTATTTTTAATTATTTCATAACTTAATATTTTATTTTATACATATATTATTATATAAGTATATAATATTATTTTTTATTTAATTATTGTATTACCGGTCCGACCGTCGGTTCAACCGATTGAACCATGACCCATTAGCTTTTCCGGTTTAATGTCCGTTCTGGTTTTTAAAACATTGATTCACAGATGCATGTTGATGGGCTTGCCAAGACCTAGGTTTGTTAATGAGTCCAACGCGTGCCCCAAATTAACCTAATCAAATGAAACTCGATTACCAATTATTTAATTAATTTATTGACCTTTCAAAGGCGTTACCTAAAAGAAATATTTCTTTGGTCTTTAATATAGGATCTAATTGAAGAGTTAATATTAATATTAAATGTAAGACATATTTTATATAATTATTAACTTTTTTCATACTAACCCTCTTGATTTTCCCTCAACAATAGTTAAGTAGGAGAGGAAAGAAAGAAATTAAAAAGATGTTAAGAATATTATAAATATATATCATATTAACTAATTCACCTCAAATTAATTAATTGAGCATTATATTAAGACTGGAGTCAAATTCTTTGGATGGGGGTATTGTGTGTTGGACCTGGCTTCTCTCCGCTGCCAGGTCCCTCCGCTGCCCTCCTCTACCCAAAACACTGCCGTTTTGGGTGCAAAATGAGGGGACTGATTCTTTTTTTTTTTTTGAAGTTTTTTTAAGTAGCATCTGATATTCTAAAATAATTTATGATATGCTTAACACATTAAAATTTTTTTTATAAGCACCTTTCATTTTATTTTTTTTAAACTCAGTATCTTAAATTATTTTTTCAGTAGTATCTAGTGTTTTACAATAATTTCTTATACACTCAGTATTCTAAAATATTTTTTCAGTAACATTCAGTATCTTAAATATTGTTGCTACTTCACAAACACTTTTAAGATAAAAACTATTTTATGATATTGGATGTCACTAAAAGAATATTTTATAATACTGGCTGTAATAAAAAATTATTTTAGAACATTGGATTCTTATGAAAAAAAGATATTAGATACTACTTAAAAAATTTCAAAATACCAAAAAAAAAAAAAGCAATCAGGCCCCCTCATTTTGCACCCAAAACGGCAGTGTTTTGGGTAGAGGAGGGCAGCGGAGGGACCTGGCAGCGAAGAGAAGCCAGGTCCATTGTGTGTTGGGGTAATATTCAGAAACTAAAACGCTGTAGCTAAAGCTGCAAGTGGGCTTGTTAACCGGAGGCGGAGGAGATTGATATTGGGCTTTAAGTGGCCCACATGGTTTAGCGCCGCTGGTATCTGAGGGCCTATTCTAGTTCCATAGAAAATATTACTACTCCTCGTATTAAATACAAGATTTAATTTATAGGGTAAAGGATCGAAAATGCCATATAAACATATAGTTGAACTTAATGGCTCCCCAGTCTTTTTATTTTGATTTTTAAAAACCTCTTCCCCCTTCTTTATCTAGTTGTCTTTTACTATATTTCAGCTGAAATTAAGAAGTCCTAAAATATCCAATACTCTCTCCGTCTCTTAGCCTTTTCCTAATGAAGTCAAAAGCATAACATGAAATTTTTTCTGACAATTCCAAATTTACCTTTAATGTTTCGTATATACTGATGTGCGGTTATAAATAATTAAAGATATAATAACAAAAACGTGAAAATGTTATATTGAGTTCTTAAAGAGACATGTAAAAGCAAAAATGTGGTTTCAAAAGGAATCATATTTTGAAGCGAAGGGAATTCAAAATGAGTAATATTGTTAATATTTGAGATGAATAGAGATAGCATATAAGGGGATTAGGAGAATTATGTTATAAAAGAGGTTGGATAAAATTCTTCGTCGACCAACACAACCCTCTTCCTTTATTTGAATTTAGAATTGGCTATAAATTATAAGCATTTTAGGGGATGTAATGATCAAAAGGAATCTTATATTGTCGGTTATAATTTTCTTGTGTTCTGGACAAGATACTTAGATTCAAATTCGCTCATATTATATAAGAATAACAGAACAGACCAAACCAACATGGCTTCCTATATAAGAACAATACAACTCAACAACAAACCAGCTCCTCTCTCTCTCTCTCTCTCTCATATTCATCAAACACCCACAATTCCTTTTATCTTGCAGAAAAACTTAATAATTAACAAACCTTTGATTTGAAATTTTCACCGATTACTTTATTCATCGCTTACGGATACTTTGCTCTTTGATTCCCTCTGCAGCAACAATGTTTGACGGCTCTATTAATTGGAATCACCTTCATGATCTTCTTATATAAAGTGGGAATTCGATCAATCCAAATATGGTCACAGGAAAGAACGCAGCACTATAAACCAAAGTCGAAGTCCATTGCTTCCATTGCAACCTAATAGTCAGCAAAATGGTTGCACTAAAAGCAAGCATTGTGGTGGTCAGCGAGCAAAACAGAAAAGCGAACCCTATATTCAATTTACGTGGCAGAGACCTCTTAAAATCCCAGAGCTCAAACGGCGACGTGGGGATGAAAAGAAACATCACCACGGAAGCCAAGGAGAAGGCAAGTGCCACGATGTCCATGACGGTGAAGAAAATGAACACCGGCGATCTGAGGTACACCGGCGTGCCGCCCTCACTCCCTCCCGGGATGGTGTAGGCCGCCGCAAAAACAACCGTGGCCACGAGCACCGATACGGTGGAGCAGGACTCGGCGGTTTGCTTGATCCATGTTTGTGCGTCTGCAAGCATAGTATCGTGCTCTATGTCCAGAACATCCCCTGCTGTAAGCCTCATATAGTCACAATGCAAGTGCAGATGACTGGGAACAACTTCTTCCACTCTCTGCGCAAACCAACAAAATATTGGCCTTCTTAAATATGAATACCATTAATATATATCAGTGAAGATAACATGAATAAGAGCTAGTTATATAGTTTAATTTGTTTGCTTACTTTGTACCATTTTAGCTCTGCCTGAAGTTGGAAAGCTGCGCCAGCAAGGCGAGCTGCTCTGTAATAATCCATTCTAGCAACTTGATGCAAAACTGTACGATTCTCCCTAGATATTCGAGTGACCAATGTGCCAAAAGATGGATTTTTCTTGAGAAGTTTGAAGATTTCTAACTGACGATGCTTGACGGCCATATGGAGTATGTTTTGTTCATCTTCACTTACGTGATTTACAGACTCTGGATGCTCTTCAAGGAACAGTTGAACGATTTCTATAATCCCATTGCTCGCAGCAACCAGCAATGGAGTGTGATTATCATAATGGTGTTTCTTTTCTGCTTGTTTGTTTGGATCTTGGTCGTCGTCGTCGTCGTCATCAAGATCCTGTTTTTCTTGCCTCTTCTCTTCCTTGCGTTCCACTTGTTTCTTCCTTTTTGCGACGTTGTAAACAACAGATGGCAAAACGACCAGTGTTTTCTTAATATGATTGTAAGAGATCTGCCACGAGTAATCATGCTTAACCAGAAACTTGGCCAGACGCTCTGCTAACTGATGATGCTTCTTTCTTCTCCAGAGGGAATCAATCCCCACGAACACTGTTTGTCATACTATTTCATTAAATTTCAGTGTTGTGATCAAGGTGTGGGTGTTTTGATTCGTAAACAATATTCTTATTACCTTTAGCTAGATGTTTCCAAACCGCATAGTTTATCCTTGAAAGACCTGAATATCGTCGGCTAAATATTGTGAGAGCCCTTGGACGTGATAATTAACATTCTTGTAACAACAAGCTAAGGTACCTGAAGCTGGTGGCTTGGCATCATTTTGTTGTCCAGTTTCTAAGTCTGAGGAAGGCCTAAGCAACTCGAAGCTATCGTAACCTTCAATCTCGTATCTTTCATCCGGAAGCGCTATATATATATGTATATATCATCCAAATTACGATTTACATTCATTTGCATTCACACAGAGAACAGAGAGAGAGAGGGAGGGAGAGAGAAAGTACAGTTATAGATGAGATTGGCAAGGGATCCCAGAGGGTAGTGGCTCCGAAAAGCAGTGGGCATTCTGGCGAGAAGCTGAAGACAAGTCAGCCCACTTTTATTCCTCTCCAGCAGCAGACTGCTCACATCCATTGTCATTATTATCCAAAGAGTTACATCTGCACCCACACATATATATCAACACACACACAGCCGTCATCACATATATTTTGCAAAGACTAGTTTAGGGGCATGAAACTTTTTCATTGAGTGAGACCGAGAGAGGTGATAGGTTCAATCCCGTTTGCAATAACCAAGAGAGTCGACATTCTTTTGGCGGAAAAAAACTCTCATGATAACATTATTTAAGACTTGAGGTGATATGTAGTAAAACAATGAAACTGTAAATAAAACAAATCTGATCTACAACCAAAAAAAAAACTTTTTTTTTGGCTTCGTCTGTAGAAAAATGGGAGATAGAGCGATGTATGGCAGATGATTCAAATTAAAATGATTCAACCAACAAAACAAACAAATCAAGATATACAGATTACCTAGTAGAAACCATAATTAAAACAAGCGCAAGAAAGGAGACATATAGTTACCAAAAGATTGGCTATTCATACTAGCATGAAGAATGGTCCGAGTATCACTACGAAGATGAATTTTCATATCACTCTGAGGCTGAGCTTCCGCACGTTTGGCCATATGGATTACCATCTTCAAGTTGCCGTACTTGGCTGCCCTAAACAGTGGGGTTTCACCTTTTGAGTTTTTCCTCTCCATCAATGGCCTTCCCCTTTCCTCCTCCTGCTCCTCCTCCAGCGGCGGCCCCATCTTCTTTTCGAAGTCGAGTACGACATCAGCCATCTCCGCCACCCTGCAAACCAAAGCGATTTCGTGAAGGAGAGTGTTACCTTCCCAGGTCTTCCTTGTGAAAGCATGCCAGTGTTCTTGGGCTGAAAGCATCTCCAGCAAATCCTGAAGGAGTTTGGGGCTATCAGAGCGAGTTGCAACATTAATGGCGGTGTTCTTGAACAAGTCGAAATCCTCAAGCAGATCTTTCTTATCTTCTTCAAAGATTTCCTTGAAGGCTCTCCAATCTTCAGACCTAGAAGCTCTCTGAGCTCTTTTTATTCTCTCGCTGAACAGAGAAGCCTCTCCCTCTATCTTAATTTCACCACTCGTCTCTCCCATTTTCCTCTCACGAACACACTCCTGCTTGTGCTCAATGTCTGCCTGAACTTCTTTATATATATAGACACACACAGAATTGGCGGGAAGCTTTCTAATCATTAGGCAGTATATAAGTATTTTTTATGTAAAAAAGAAGAAGTGAAAATCGAATATTAGTGTGATATATATGGTAATGCATGATAATAGCTTTTTAATAGTGATGCATAATAATAGCTTTTTAGAAGTAGAACCTAGCACTATTCAAAATTGAGCTACGTCATGATTAATATATATATATATATGTATGCGTGTGTATATATATAACACAGTACAATCTACCATACGATCAGCATCAGGATTCCACTAGCATAAAATAATTATTGTAGTATTTTTTATATATTGTCGTGTAATTTAACTTTTAGTTTAAACATCAGGATGTCTTGGTCTAATTAAAATTTTCTTTTGAAAAAAAATGTATAACCGCACTTTTAACTATGGTGCAGTTCAAATTTAAATCTATATGAAATTACTTGTGCGTGTTAAAAATATAAATAAATTAACGGTGCCTATGGTCAGAAATATATATTGCACGGTAAAGGCTTGAAGTCAAAAATGACCCCCGGACACAAATAAAGACTTTGATAATCATTATTTGTTGGGACTTTAATGTTCGATATATTTTGAGATTTATGGAATAATCAGTCTCATATAGAAGTGTGTCCGTCGTCCATTGTTCTTTTTATTTTTTTCTTTTCTTTTTAACGGGCTATAATATTCTAAAAGCATATGTGCTGCGATATATATTCTTTGTTGCTTGCAGAAAATCAAAAGTAAAAGGGAAAAAATTGAAAAGAAAATGCCTTGTGTGTGTGTGTGTGTGTTTTACTTTGGTACCACGTAATACATGTGTATCAGTGGCTGTTAGAATCCAAGTGTGAACAAAAATGAATGTTAGAATCGGTATTAGTACTGTATGAGACGTTAGCTAGAAGAAAATTATGATTTAAAATATAAAATGTTGTTGGAATAATTAATATGATTTTTCACTTTCACCACTATTCAATACTCCTCTGGTCCTATTTATAGAACAGAGAGAGAAGCTATTTTTTAATCCTATTTATAGGGCACTGAAAGAAATTTTTTATATGGATGTACAATTTTACCCCTCATTTATTATTATGTTGACTTTGTTTATATGAGGTATAATGTATATTAAATAGGGATAAAGTTAGAAATTCATTAAATTTTAAATGAGAGTTAATAAAATTTAAGATTTTTCTTAGTCTGTATGAAACATACTGGAGATGCCTTATAGAGTATAAGAGAGAGAGGAGTGAGATGAAAAATAATAAATCAAGAGATGTTACTTAAGTTTTCTCACAAATCAAGAGATGTTAGTTAAGTTATTAAATGTGTTTTAAATTGATAAAAAAATGCCTATTTTACCCTTATTAAAAAACATGATACGAAAATTCTCTCATCTCTCCTGCATTTAATAAATACCCTCTCTCCTCCTTATATCTCGTACCTTTCATCTCTCCGGCAGCAGACTGCTCACATCCATTCTCATGATTATCCAGAGAGTTACATCTGCACCCACACATATATATCAACATATATATATAGCCGTCATCACATATATTTTGGAAAGACTAGTTCAGTGGCATGAAACTTTTTCATTGAGACTGAGAGGTGACATGTTCAATCCCGTTTATAATCTTATGTCATCTTTACTTATCTTTTTAACTATAAATAAAACAAAGAGAAAAACTAGACGTAACCACTTTAGCCTTGTACATACACATTTATCACGTATGCACCCACACACATCAACGTATCCGAGCCATTGTTTTGCGTAGGAATTAGGATATTAAAAGGATCTTACTGCAGGACAAGCAATAAGGCTCTCCCATATAAGTAGTGCACTAGGGAATCTATACTTTAATCCCCAATAATTCTGTTTATATTTGACACTTTAACATTTGATAATCACCGTGATCAAGAATGCCGCATTTTTAAGATCAAGTAGAACTTGATTCCAAAATTTGTATGCCAACTAATCTTGTTTTTATTTTTAAAAAAAACTACAGAAGATCTCAAACAAAATTATTAAATTAGCTTTAAGTGATTATATTCCAAATGTGTCCTAGCGTTTGGGGCATTCAACATTCTGTTTTTAAGACTACATGAATCATCAGCATAGTAATTAACAAATCAAACACTTGCCCCGACAATTTTGGGGGGGGGGTGAAGCAGTAATCACGAGAGTCAACACTCTTTTGGCGGGAAAAAAGCTCTCATGATAACATTATGATTATGCAAAACGGAATAAAATCTCGACTCTATGTATATACTTTATCCTAAAGGCACAATACTTTTACTTTAATCATAAAAATAAAATTATAAAATTATAAAAACATACTTTTACTTTAATAGCTTTTTAGAATTAGAACCTGGCACTATTCAAAATTGAGCTACGTCATAATTAATGTACATATATATGTAACATAGCAGAATCTGCCCTACGATCAGTATCAGGATTCCAGTAGCATAAAATAATTATTGTATTATTGTTTATATGCTGTCGTGTAATTTAACTTTTATTTTAAATATCAGGATGTCTGGTCTAATTAAGATTTTCTTTTGAAAAAAATGTATAATCGAACTTTTAGCTATGGTGCAGTTCAAATTTAAATTTATATGATAATTACTTGTGAGTTAAAATTATAAATAAAGTACGTAACGCTGCCTATGGTCTGCAATATATTGCATGGTATAAACATTTGAAGTCAAAAATGACCCCCGACACAAATAAAGAATTTGCTAATCATTATTTGCTGGGACTTTAATGTCCGATATACTTTGAGAGTTATTGAATAATTAGTCTTATAATAGAAGTGTGTCCGTCCTCTATTGTTCTTTTTATCTTATCTTTTCTTTTTCACGAGCCGTATTATTCTAAAAGCATATGTGCTGCGATATATATTCTTTGTTGCTTGCAGAAAATCAAAAGTAAAGGTGAAAAATTGAAAAGAAAATGCCTTATGTTTCTTTTACTTTATTACCACGTAATACATATGTATTAGTGGCTGTTAGAATCCCAGCGTGAACAATAATGAATGTTAGAATTGGTGTTAGCCTCGTAATAATAAAAGCATTCACTTGAAGAGAGGCCAACAAGGTAATGTATAAGACGTCAGCTAGAAGAAAAATATGATCTAAAATATAAAATATTGTTGGAATAATTGATATGATTTTTCACTTTCACCACTATTAAATATAAGAGAGAGAGAGGAGTGAGATGAAAAATAATAAAACTGTAATATTAAAGGAAAATCTATTATTTCTAGAGGTAAAATGGAAACACTTTATCATTTTAAGACATGTTTAATGACTAAATCTTTATTTTTTTAATACATGAGAAAAATTAACTAATTTTTTTATGTTATGGACTGGAGAGAGTATAAGATGTTACTTAAGTTTTCTCACAAATCAAAAGATGTTAGTTAAGTTATTAAATGTGTTTTAAATTGATAAAAATGACCTATTTTGTTCTTATTAAAGAATATGATACGAAAATTCTCTCATCTCTCCTGCATCTAATAAATGCCCTCTCTCCTCCTTATAATGACAGGTAAAAGTGAAAAACTATCCTTAATTATCTTATAAAAGACTTCCAAGAGATCATGATAAAGGGGTTTTTTTTTCCTCCCCTGGGCCAGCCGAGACCCAAGCTGACTGTTCAGTTGCCCCCAAATCACAAATTAAGTTTATGAAAGGCTTCATATAATTAATTTTTGGTTCATAAATTTCAAACCATAGATTTTGGTCCTTCAGATAGTCTAAGTTTTTATTGAATTATAAAGACTTGAGGGACCAAAATTTATAGTTTAAAATTTGAAAGACCAAAATTAAAATGAAAGTAAATTTGAGGAATCAAAGATTATATTAGCCTTTTATGAAATAAGAAATCAATTAATTTTTGCGTCGAAAATTTTCAACTGTGATTTTTTAAATGAGTACTGAATTTTAGAAAACCGAATCATGCAGGTATGCTCCAAAGATTTATGAAACTAAATTAGGTCAATAAATCTGTACTTATCTTAATAACGTACATCTCAACATTTGATATGTAGAAATTTGGAAGTAGACATGCCTGTAGATATTAAAATTACTACTCCTCCGGTCCTTAATATAGGACCCAATTGCTGAGTTGGTTTTAGTCCTAAATATAAGACCCATTTATTATATTTATTAAGTTTTTCTAAATTACCCCTATGGATACTCCCTCAACCATAATAAAATAGAAGAGGGAGAGAGGGTATTAAGAAAGATGATTATAGTATTTTAGGAAAAACATGTCACATTTCTTATAATTAACTAACTTACCTAACTTCCTTAATCTAATCAAATTAGTTGAATGGGTCTTATATTAAGGACCGGAGGAATATTATTTATGAGTTGAGAAAAATTAAATACACACAAGATCAGACACAGGAGAATGAGACAATCACAAGAAATTGCGTCTTATTCATCCTTAGTTTAAAAAGAAACACTACAACAAGAACTTTTCAAAAGTCGCAAATGCTAGAGAAATATAACACACCACACCAACCAAATCATGGGCTTCCGCGTAAAAACACTCTTACAAACTCCTTTATTTAGCAGAAAACGACAAATTAGCAGATCAATTAAAAATTCGAACTAATTTCTGTTCTTCGCTCATTGGTACTACGCTATCTTAGACCCTTCTGCTTGATCGACCAATTGAAATCTTCTTCTTACGTAAGTTGGGGAACAGCTTGGAGAACATAATCGGAATCTTCTTGTAAAGTGGGAATTCAATCAAGGCAAATATGGTGACAGGAAAGAGCGCAGCACTGTACACCAAGGTCGAAGTCCAGTTCTTCCATTGCAACCTGATTGTGATCAAAATGGTCGCACTAAAAGCAAGCATCGTGGTGGTCAGCGACACGAACAGAAAAGCAAACCCTATGCTCAGTTTCCGTGGCAGGGACCTGTGGAAATCCCACAGCTCAAACGGCGCATTGAGGATGGAAAGAAACATCACCACCGAAGCCAAGGAGAAGGCAAGCGCCACGATGTCCATGATGGTGAAGAATATGAACACCGGAGATCTGGAGAGCAGCGCGGAGCCACCCTCGGTCCCGCCCGGTATGGTGTAGGCCGCCGCGAAGACCACCGTGGCCACAAGGACTGCCACCGTGGAGCAAGACTGAGAGGTATCTTTTATCCATTGTTGGGCGTCTGCAAGCATCTCATCGTGCTCTATGTCCAGAAGGTCTCCTGCTGTTAGTACATCTTTGTCACAATGCATGTGAAGGTGAGGTGGAACAATCTTTTCCACTCGCTGCACATCAGACACAAGATCGAATATTGGTATCGTTTAACATAGCTCTAATATTAATCATATTTCATGAGCTTAATGGCCTATACTTACTTTATACCAATCCAGCTCTTCTTGGAGTTGGAACGCTGCGCCAGGTAGGGGTGATCCCCTGTAATAATCCATCCTCGCAACTTGGTGCAATGCCGTACGATTACTTTGAGCAACTCGAGAAGCCAGTGAGGGAAGCTCTGGTTGATCCTGTAGCCATTTGAAGATTTCTCTTTGACGGTGCTTGACCGCTATGTGCAGTATGTTTTGGCCACCTTCACTGAAGTGATTTATAGACTCCGGATGTTCTTTAAGGTACAAGTGTATGATTTCTATGATCCCGTTGCTAGCTGCTATAAGCAATGGCGAGTGATCTTTATAGTGTTCCAGTTTGTCTTTCTCCTCTTCTTCTCTTTCTTCCATAACTTCTTTCTTTTCCTTCCATTCCAATTGCTGTTTCCTTTTCGCGACATTGTGTAGAACTGGGGGAAGCTTGACCACTGTTTTATCGTGAGGTTCGTTATAATAAGAATTCTGCCACGAGTAGTCGCGCCTCACGAGAACCTCGGCCACGCGTTCTGCTAATTGATGTTTCTTCTTTATTTCCCAGATCGACTCAATCCACTCGAATACTGGTCGCTCATTTTGGTCAAGCATGCATATAATTAATGATCCATATTAGCATGTATATTCGAATATTCAAACTATTAATACTTTAATTGACTCAGCGTATATTTGTGTGGGGATTTTAGTTCAATGATGGTAGCACCTTTAGCTAGATATTTCCAAACTGCGTAATTGGCCCTTGAAAGATGACCTGCAAGTCATCATCAGTTAAATATTAATTCCTCAGACAATGCATACGAAGTGTTTGATATTTTTCAAACAGAAAGTACCTGGGGTTGGTGGCCTGGCATCATGTTGTTCGCCAGTTTCTAAGTCTCGCCAAAGCAACTGATCAAAGCTGTTGTAACCTTCAATGTCGTATCCTTCATCGGGAAGCACTAAATCGTCCAAATTACAAGTTTTATATGAGGAGAAGCAAAGAAAGTTGGGTGTGAGAACTGATGCGGTTATGTGTTAATTGAAAAAAGTGTTAGCTAGATGTAAAGAGAGAATGTACATCTATAGACGAGTTTGGCGAAGAATTCCTGGGGATCATAATGACTGTGAAAAGAACTAGGCATTCTGGCAAGAAGCTGAAGGCAAGTCAGATCATTTTTATTCTGCTTCCCAGCTAGATCATTATTCTTATCCATTTTCATGATTATCCAGAGAGCTACATCTGCACAAACATATTCAATATAATCAAACATTAACGTTTGTTTGGTAAACCTAATGATCATTTTTTTAAAAAAAGAAGTTCTTCTATACCTTGCGACATAAAGCACTTCACAGCAAAAAGAACAGTTAAAATTCCAAAATAAAGTTTAGAAAAATTTCAATTTTCTTTTCTTAAATCATGATTATATAAATGCATATGAAAATACTAATTTGACTTAAGCATAAGAACCACTGAAGGATGGTTATATGACTACCGAGCACTTGGATTAATTGGTAGGAATTGTTTTCAACTGAACCAAAAGTCACGGGTTCGATCATTTGAGGTTGCTGCCCATATAGATCCTACTATGATCTGATCCAAATTTGTGTGGTTTATAATTTTTGAGGGATTAACTCGAACATTGAGTGCATATAAAAAAAAAAGGACAATTATATGGATTATTTGACAAAAAATTATAACAGATACATAATATAAACAATAAAAATTCTACTTAAAAAGATAAAAACTCAATATAAATATTACTGATAACATGTAACAATCCATATTCCACTGTACTAAAAAAATAATAATAAAAAAAAAACGTTTCCAATCAAATCTCAATCCTCAGAGACTTACCAAAGGATTGCGCGTTCAAACTAGCATGCAGAATGGTCTCTCTGAGGCCTTCTTGATGGATTTCCAGGTTAGTCTGAGGCTGATCTTCTGCACGCTTGACCAAATGGGTTAGCATCTTGAGGTTACCGAACTTAGCAGCTTTGAACACCGGCGTTTCACCTTTTAAGTTTTTCCACTCCAACAATGGCCTTCTCTTCTCCTCCTCTTGCTCCTTCTTCTCCTTTGATGATAGCTCTGCCATCTCCGCCTTCTCCTCCTCTACCAGCTCCGGCGGCAAAGGAGCGGTCTTTTCGAAATCAAGTACGATGTCCGCCATCTCCAACATCTTGCAAGCCTCGGCGATTATATGGAGAAGGGTGTTGCCTTGACGGTTCTTCTTCCTCACGGCGCGCCACCTTTCTTCTTCAGATAGCTTTCCCAGCAACTCCTTCAACAGTTCTGGATTATCAGAGCGAGCTGCCATGTTAATGGCGGTGTTCCCCAACAAGTCAAAATTCTCTAGCAACTCTGTCTTATTATCAGCAAAGATTTCCTTGAACTTGTCCCATTCTGTGGACCTATAAGCTCTTTGAGCTTCTCTCATTGTTTCGCTGAACATATCTCCCTCTATCATAATCTCACTATTCTTCTTTCCCATTTTCCTCTCACGAACACACTCCTGCCCTGTGCTCAATGTCTGTATGAACTTCTTTATATATATACTCACTCGCAAGGGTAGTGACTAGCAAGCTTTTTTACTGGGTCCTTAGTATAATATAAGACCAGGTCTTATATATATTAAGAATCGACGGTAATGCCTATATGTAATTTTGTGTAATAAAAATGAAAAGCGAATTACAAAGTGATGAATAATAATAATAGCTTTATAAAATTTAGAACTAACAATTTTAAACTGAGCTGCTCAGTAAAATATAAATAACAACAAAATCTAGCACAAGGATCAGTTTCAATTTCACGATTCCCCAGCAGAATAAAATAACTATGGTATTCTTTTTACATATCATCGTGCAATTTAATTTTTATTTTAAATATCATAATGTGGTAGTCTACTTAAAATTTCCTCCTTCTTTTTTTGCATGAGTCAAATCACATTAAACTTGAGACTAATCTCCATTGAGTCGGGAACATTGAGATTAAAATTCTCCCAATAAATATACTCCTAAAATTTAAATTTGTGTTATTCTTTTTATGAGATGAAACCGCTTACCATCAGTTTGATTACTTGAAATTTTCTTTTAAAGTAACAGTCATCTTGCCAATGGTCAGTGTTTTTTCTTTTTTCTTTTTTTGCCGATGCCAATGGTCGGTGATACGGGTAATAAAGACGTAAAGTAGTTAAAAAAAAAAAAAAAGCCCACAACCACAAATAAAGGCTTTGCTTATCTTTTTTTTTGGGGACTTTAATTCCATGTATTTGTCGGTCATGGAATGTTTATGGGTCCGTCCTTTAATAGTTTAATGTTCCCTTTGACCCCATTTTAACGACTGCTGTAATATTCTAAGACAGGAAGTCTCCCCTTTTCTAAATTGGCAGGTAAAAAAAATTTTGGCTAGACCGTGGCGTGTAGAGATCCAACATACTCTGAGGGAAAAAAACGAAGTAGCTGATTTACTGGCTACAAGAGGATTAAACACCTCGACTTTCTTGGACTCTTGCCCTCCTTGGTTAAGCACTCTAGTTGCTGATGAGTCTACTGGATTTAATTCCCCTTTTGAGTAGCTTTTTGTAACTTCTGGGCCTAGCCCTCTCTATTGTGGCAAAAACAAAAGTCATACGCTGCGACATATATTTTTTTGTTTCTGGCTGATCCATAAACCTTTAAAACATAGCCTTAAGTTACTACAAATACTACAAATATTTAAAACTATCCCTAGGTTAAATGCCGAGGGGTTAGGTCAGCTGGCTGGGACTGTCCTAGCTTAACCACAGGTCTCGAGTTCGAGCTGTGGGAATGCAGCACCCTGAGGGGCCAGAGGGCGCCGACCGAAAGGTTCCTTACAAACCTTCGATCCGGATTAGTCTAGGGACGTTGTCACGGCTGAAAGACACCTATTTCCCTGGGATACCGAAGGAGAAATCCAAAAAAAAGAAAAAACTATCCCTACGTTAAATATTCGTGTGTGCCTCTCAATATTCAAACTCTCTTTTCACCTTCTTGTACGTCAAAATTAATTATAGAATTGGGGGAAGGGTGTCAATCATAAAATCAACCTGTGAAGCGGGAAAAAAATAGATATGATGAGAAAAAAAAAACTCAAAATATATTCATAAATAAAAATAATCCATAAAAAAAGTTGAAACAAAATAGTAAAAACTAGCTTCTCCGTTGGAACCATATCCCTACCCCTAATTTGAGAATTTAGAAATTCATAATAACAAAAATCATAAATAACAATGTTTTATAACCCACAAACATAATTAAAAAAAACCATACAAAATTATAAATATGCCATATGGGTTAAAATACATTCAATATCCCGGTGTATTTTTTAAGTGTGTTTATTACTCTAAAATATTTTGTAGTATAATATTGTTCTAAAAGTATTAATTTTTTTCAGGTGTAATTGTGTTTTTTAAGGATCAATTTTAACCTCATCTGCCATTAACTCTTCAGAAAATTTGTTAAATGAATAAGTAACTAGCACTCTAAGATATTTTATTATTATTTTTATGCTAAATATATTTTTAAAAATTTCAAAATACTAGATATACTACATAATATTTTAGGATGTTAGATACATGTAAACAAATCTTAACCCTATAAATATTAATAATTAATAAATAAATTGATTTTGCACCAACACTGCAAAAGCTTCTTATCTAAATAAGGTAGTGATTAAACGCCTTTTTCCTTCTCAGTGTGGGACTTTTAATACCCACACAAATATATAATAAATTCGTCCCACTGCATAGTGTTAATCCTTTCTTTTTTGGGGACTTCGGAGCAAATTACCATGTTGACCCCATTCCGTCAGCTTCTCCATCACGTCTTTCACTTTGTTTGGATCCGGGATTTCGGAGCAAGTTATGATTAATTACCCGGAAGAGAGACCAACAAAGAATTAATGACAAATGTTGTTTTTTTTTTTTCCCGACAGAACCTGAAGGATCATCGACGCCTGAATGCTGATGGGCTAGCCTAGACGCAAGTTCATAGTGTAATATATGCCTCAAATTAAGTCTATCACATAAGAAATCAAGTAATTAATTAATTAATACATCTAAATCTTCACCTTTCACCTTTGATTTTATTAAATGGCTAACGGGTAATAATTTTTTCATATGAGTATTGAATATAATTTTAGAAAACCAAATCATGTAGGTAATTATAAATATTTTAATCATGTTACATCTCAACGGAGTGGATAACTGGCTCTGAAGATTACGTAAATAAATCTGTACATATCTTAATTACGTGCATCTCAACATTTGATATAACCAACCATATTGTCGTGCAATTTAATTTTTATTTTAAATATCATAATGTGGTAGTCTACTTAACATTTTTTTTTTATATAACTCAAATCACTTTGAATTTGAAACTAATTTCTATTAAGTCAGGAGTGTTAATATTAAGATTCTTCCATTAAGTACACTCTCAAAATTCAAACTTGCGTTATTCTTTTGATTGGATAAGACTGCTTACCATCAGCTTGGTTACTAGCCTGGTTACTTGAAATTTTCTTTTAAAGTAACAGCAATCTTGCAATTGGTCAGTGCTTTTTTTTTTTTTTTCCGCTTTTGCCGACGCCAATGGTCAGTGATGCTGGTAATAAAGACGTAAAAAAATGCCCCACAACTACAAATAAAGGCTTTGGGTCCGTCCTTTAATGTTGTTTTTGACCCCATTTTAATGACTGCTGTAATATTCTAAAATCATGTGCCGCGACATATATTTTCTTTTGTTTCTGGCTAATCTATAAACCTTAAAAATATAGTCTTATGTTACGACAAATATTTAAAACTATCCCCAGATTAATCATAGAGTTGGTTGAAGGGTGGCCAATCATAAAATCAACCTGTGAAGAGAAAAAAAATAGATATTATGGGAAAAAAATCAAAATATATTCATAAATAAAAATAATCCATAAAAAAAGTCAAAACAAAATAGTAAAAACTAGCTTCTCTATTGAACCATATCCCTACCCCTAATTTGAGAATTTAGAAATTCATAATAAAAAAAATCATAAATAACAATGTTTTATAATCCGCAAACATAATAAAAAACCATATAAAATTATAAATATGCCATACGGGTTAAAATGCATTATAATCCGCAAACATAATAAAAAAACCATACAAAATTATAACTATGCCATATGGGTTAAAATGCATTAAGTATTCCGGTATATTTTTTTTAAGTGTATTCAATACTCTAAAATATTTTGTAGTAGTATAATATTATTCTAAGAGTATTGATTTTTTTTCAAGAGTAATTGTGTTTTTTAAAGAGCAATTTTAATCTAATCCGCCATTAACTCTTCAAAAATTTGTTAAATAAATATGTATCAAGCACTCTAAAATATTTTATTATTTTTTATGTTAAATGTACTTAAAAAAATCAAAATACTAGATATATTACAAGATATTTGAGGATATTAGATACATGTAAATGAACCTTGAGCTTATAAATATTGATAAAAAATTGATTTTGTATCAATACTCCAAAAACTTCTTATCTAAAGAAGTAAATAAGGTTCTAAGAAAGGAAAAAAATTACAAAATAAATTTTAAAGGTTGTCATTCTCTACTCTAGAACTTGATTACAAACTATTTTGGTTGTTATTAAGACCTGATAGTAATTATTTCTTTTTTCTAAGATTTGATTGTAATTTTCCGTTAATGCTTTCTCTTTTTTTTTTTTGGTTGCCTACCCAATTCACCAGAGCTTTGTTCCGACTATATCTGGATCTGACCCGCGTCGCACACTTGGCTGTGATAGATGAGCCTCCCAACAAGGATTTCTACATATGCTGAAGTTTGAACTTGAAACCTTATTTAAACGGTACCAAGCCGCTTATCACTTGAATTAATGGGTGTTGGTTAATGCTTTCTTTTTGGCATGGTAAAAAGACATCCTTTCTTTTTTTTGGACTTCGGCGCAAATTACAATGTGGTCCCATTCCATCAGCTTCTCCATCACGTCTTTCACTTTGTTTGGATCCGGGATTTTGGAGCAAGTTGTGATTAATTACCCAGTCACTACTCTGCCCCATATCTCACGTGTAATCCATGTCTTCTTTTTCCACCCCCTTTCTATTTTATATTTCTTGCAAAATAAAAAAGGATATGAGCAGGTTTTATATTTAAAAAAATCACTTTTTTCCCTGATAATTTAATTTTGGAGAAGACGTATATAAGATCAATGAGATAGGTACTATATATTTATAAATTTAACTCAATATATACAAAAATTAGCACCTATTTAATTATAAAATATGCAATTATCATGTATAGAAAATGGAAGTAAATGAGAAAATATTAGATAGAAAATGTCTTGTATTTTTTAATTTAGGGGAGAGACCAACAAAGAATTAGTGACAAATGTTCTCCCCCCCCCCCCCAAAAACAGAACCTGAACGTTCGTCGACACCTGAATGTTGACGGGCTAGCCCAGACCCAAGTTCACAGTGTAA